ATTGTGATTCTCGGATCGCGTCATTTACTAGAAAAACTTTTCTTTTTCCATTATTTTTAATTTTTTAATTGTTTAATTTTCTGTTATGGTAATCTGATTTTCAATGGCCAGGCTCTTTACAATAATTACAAATAGCTAGGTTTGTCTGAAATGGCTTATGTTGTGCATTATTATTTTAAACTGTTGGATTAATATTGGCTGATTGTGTTTGGTTCCGATGAGCGGTCTAGCTTGTTTGTGGTATTGTTTGAGGAGTTAGGGCACTATGGCCCCGCCCATGGCAGGTGTTTACTTTTTAAGTGTTGCTGTACTTGATGCTGCTGTGTTGGTATGCTTTGACTTTGTGAAGTACGGAACCAACAAGTTTTTTCTGTATCATTCGGTTTATTACAAATTTAACAAGTCGCTGTACGTTCATTGTGTTTAGTCGATGGTATGTGTTCAATTTTCGGTTGCACTAGCGTTTTTACTGTTTCAGATAATTCTTCAGGCTCTTGTACGTTGACTCTTGTACCAATACCATCGCATTCATGGTGGGCTCCGCTACATCGAGATATCCTCGGTGATAATCTCTAGAGACCAACGACAGCGGTAGATTTTTGCTGGTCTTAATTAAAACAAATGAGTCAGAGAGAGAGAGAGAAAGAGCAGTTCGCTAATTGTTTTTGATTCTACTCTTTCATACATCTGCTACTCGGCCTCTTAGTTGCCAGTAACTCTTTTTCGCTCCGTTGCTCCAGCAACATCTTCGCCCGCTGTCTTCTGTCGTGACTCTATCTAAAGTTCACTCTTCATCTCTTTTTCTCTTTCTCTATATCTATCTATATATCTTTCTTTCTTTCCATGTCATGGTAACGGCACGGGGCAATGATTCAGAGCAGCCAGTGGCGGAATCTCTATTACAAATATTGTAGTAGAATAAATCTAAAAAGCGCTAGAAGTAATTAACTATTTCTTTTGCACTTTTAGGGTACTCTAAATGAGTTTTGTAATAAGCCATTGCATAATTATATTCTACGCAAAAAAATTACAAACGTATATCATACTTTTATCATATCATTATATAAGTAGAAATCGCAATGGAACTCCTATTCTTGGATTTCCTAAATATTACGTATGTTACGTACGAACAAGCGAAAGTTAGGAATTAATTTTACATATAAAATACTAAGACGAAATTAGTTTCATCGTATAATCGACCTGAACAACGTTAAAAGCGAAAAGATGAATGTTTTTAGTGGATACTTTCATTATCACCTCATCCTCTCATCATAGGAATAATCATTCACTCTTGTTCATTTAGCGAAGCCATTGTAGTTTTATAAATTCTGGTTATAAAGTTGAATAAATGAAACAAAACGAAATAGTAGTGAATAAAACAAATAAAAAAAAAAAGAAAAAAGCCCCTAGAGTAAAATCATTGTAATACAGTACAAAAAAGCAGAATGATGTAGCGATTAATTAAAGTGGAACAAGATAACAGTGTAGAATTCAAAGGATTCTTTACACAGTAAAATTAATTTAGTATTTATTCATTAGAAGAAGTTCGTTTAATGTTTATACGATTAAACCTTACTATTACTAATGTGACCGGGCCCTGGCTAGAATAGCCGGCCCTGTCTGGCTCACTCCTTCTCTCTCTCTCTCTCTCGCAGCCTCGCTCCTTCGCTGTTGCCCTGGCGAGTGTTTGAAAATTACGAACCGATACCCATGCTCACACCGCTTTATTTCAGAACCAATACCTGAGCCGGGTATCGTCATTAGGAGCCAATTGGGAGCGAGAGCGGCTGCGGCAAGAAGAGAGAGAAAATGACGTATTATGAGTAGAGAGTGAGCGAGCGCGAGTGATTCGCGGCGATCTGCTCGCGAGAGCAAAGCCGCCGGCGTTGCTCGAGCCGACGCGCGAACGATTCTGAGTTAGACGGATCGTTTGACGGCCAAGCGTGCGTACGTGAAAGAGAACTAAACAGACAAAGAAAGCAGAGGACAACGAGCAGATTGCAGCACGGAAAGGACTTCCAACGACCCTTGCATCGAGGAATCCATCCGAGCCTGCCACGAGCCTGCCAGCAGTCCCGCAGTATTTCCTGCCTGCAGTTCCTGAAGCATTTCCTGCCAGCAGCCTTCACCAGGTCAGGTCGTTTCTCTCTCTCTCTCTTCCTCTCTCTATTCGCGAATACGCGACGCGTCGGCAAAGTGCACGCGATCTTTCGCGAGAACGGCGAATTCCACGACCAGAACGAGTCCCTCCTTTGTAACCTTCTCAAATCATTGTACCGTGCCTCCGTGCGATTGTCCGCACAAGCGCAGACACGCGACGTTGAAGACGACATGAACGCGCGTCATCGCTCTTTATTGTTAAACGTCGAGAATAAATATTGTTAACGGTTATCGTGAGTGATTATTGTGTGCGCCCGTAATTCCTGTTCTCTCAAACCGAAACCCAAAACACTAATTTAGTGACGAGGCTTATCTTCATCGTTCAGACGAGCGAAATAGCCTCCCTTACCTTTCCCTTTAAAATAATTTGTGATACGGCGCTTGGGCACGGGCCGTTGTATGGCTCGTGAGAATTACCGTTCCCCAAAACGCGTTAGATTTTAATCATCAGTGTCATACAATTACAAAAAATTTTAAACTATATTAAAAGAGTAAGTAAAAAATAATTACAGACGTGTCTGTAAAACGTAAATTTTTCTCTTTTAAATAGATAAATATTTAAGATTGTCAAGAGAAAATTTTTAGACTACTAAATACAAAATCATAATTATAGAAGATTTTTCATATCTGAAATTTAAAATTTTTTTTATTTCAAAAATAAAAATTATGGACTCCATGCGAAAAAGTAACGTTCACCTCTGAATGTTCTTGAAAATAATAGTCAAGGTCATATCTGAACGTAAAATGATATGCTTTTTTCATTTCATGGATAAAATGTATGGTGTTCCAGTTTAAAAAATCACCTTAACCTGTAAATGATCTTGAAGGTCATAATCAAGATCATGGTTAAGATCACCATTAGATAGCTAAGAAAAAATCCTATAACTTTTGTCCGAAACATTTTTCGCTTAAATGCAGTCCTGCCGAATTATTTCACCGTTCCGGGACTTTTGGATCACCCTGTATATTTCTTTCAATTCGGTAGTGTCTTAAAATTTTCTAATAATTTGAAATATTACTAATAGTTTCAAAATAAAATATTGAGATTGTAACATTATTCATTACAACGCCAGCGATTTCACTCTCTCGAGCGGATAACCGCGGATCGTTCGCGCTCATTACTTCGTCATAAGCGACATATCTTCTCCTCTCTCTTCTCGTCGCTCTCACTCCCACTTTCAACTAACTCCCACTAACGATTCTGGCCTTAGGTATTGATCCTGATGTAAAGGGGGGGGGGGGATTTATCCTCGAAACATAGCCAAGTGCGCCACTGCTATGGCCCCTGCGAGATAATAAAGGGTCCTTTTCCGGTGAAGGAAGCCGGCGCTGACTTCAACGGGAGCGAACCTACCGCGAAGACGGGAAAGGTGAACAGAAAGAATCGGTATGAATACAAAGAGGCGATCCCTTTTATTTACGCCAACGAAAGTACATCTACGAATATAAGTACAAAGGTGGTGAGCGCGTTCGCTCAATCCTCCAAACGCGACAGCAGGAGGCGACTAGGAGCGTAATCGCTCAACTATCATACGCGGCGAGTGTATAACATTTAGGAGCGAATTCGCTCAACTAACAATCGCGACAATTCGATTCGCGGCATTGCACCGGGCGAGAGCTGGTACGTGAGAGAGAGAGTCGCGGAATAGAGAGGCAACAAACCCACCGGGTGGCTCCTCCCGCGGCTCGCTGGTGGAGAGCCGGCGACGGCAAAACCGCAGTCCTGCCGGCAGAGGAGATCGTCGGATCACCGGCGGCGGCTGGTTGGCAGCTGGCGGCCGGGATCGGCTCCTCAGGCGTCGGATGATGATCGCCGGGAAAGGCTGCTCGAACAGCAGCCGGAGACTCGCCACAAAACTCTATCTCTCGTCCTGGGGTGTCTTTCTCCTGGAGCGTGTCCTAGCGTATCTCGCGCCGTGACCTGATTAGCGTACGGTCACTCTCTCACTGTCCTCAATCTCTCCCGCTCTCTTAATTCTCGCGGCGCGAGCCGCGCTTTCCACGTTCTCGCCCATTCCTCTTCCTCTCTCGCTCTCTCTCACGCTCTTCGAGCTCTCGCTCCTTCTCGCGCCGTCTTCTCCGCCAGCCGCGCTCTCCCCTCTCCAGGCCCTGCAACGACACGAGCGCGTGAATGCTATGTTAACCATAGCCACGCTCGGCCACTACATCCGTGCGAGGAGAGTGCCGCGCACAGGGTTAGCGAACATCGCTATCAGCCCTGTCACACTGAAATAAACCATTCCAAACATCAGTAATGGTTCTTGACTTCTATCACGTTCGTCATAGCCACAGCAAAGGAACTAGTCGCGGGAGAGAAAGCAAGCCTGACTGGACCGGTCATCTTGGCTAGGGCCTCGTTATAAGATTAAATTAGGCTTCTTATCTTTGTAGCGTTTGATAAACTTTATTATAGATATATATACATATATATAATATATTAGCTGAAAAGTAATGGAGATATTGTAAAAGAATGCAAAAAAATTCATCATGAAGTTCCATCTTGTCCCATGAGGATAAAAGAATATTAAAGTCTAGGTGAAGAACTTTTAATATGTGCTGAATATAATGGTCGAGTTATTTTTTTAAGAGGGAATAGGTTCGCACATCTTATGAGTTTATGTCATTTTTAATGATAATCTTTTTTGAAAAGTCAAATAACTCGATTTTGGGATTTTTTATCCCGGTAACTTATCTAAAAATTTCACTTTTATTTCTTTAAAAACTCAATTTTATTCTTTTAAACGAGCATATCTTTATGAGAAGTTTCAATAATATTAGATATAATTAAATTTACCTTCAATAAGGATTAATTTATAAATACAACTTTTTACTGGACGTACCATGTACATTTTGAGAACATTTCTGTGTACAGCGCATTCCATAGAAACCTTTCCTACATGGCTGAGAACAATCAAATCCTTCCCAACCTGGTGTACAATTACATTTTCCAGAATTTAATTCGCATGAACCATTATTTTTACAATTGCATTTAGTCTGGCAGTTTTGGCCATAAAAACCTTCTGAACATTTAGTTTCGCAACGTACACCTGAAATTTTAAGAATCGGGTAATTTCATTTATTGTTCTTATTAAAAATATTATCTATGAGAGCTAATTACTTTATAAAATAAATGAAAATATAATAAATTCATTATTATAAATTTTATATAGTGGAAGCATTTTATCTACGAACCTCTCCAATCTGGTTTACAAAAGCAATGTCCAGTGATTGGATCACAATCAATACTATCTTTTTTCTCACAATCACAATTTTGCGAGCAATTACTACCAAACCATCCTTTTCTACATCGACTTTCACAAAGGTGACCTATATATCCAGGAGCACAAAAACATTGACCTGGAAATAAATAATTTTTAATTAATAAAAAATAATGATACAATACATACACAATTTTAAATATAAATTCCAGTACAGAGATAGCTCCTTTCATAAGAAGTTTATAAATTAATTTTTTAGAATTGGTGATTCGTATCCGTAACTGAAAAGAAGATAATTTTCAGTTTACTATTCGGTTACATCGTATAAAGGCCAAAAAATATAAGAACCCAACATATTGCAAAAATAGATATTTTAAAAAGAAATATTTACATGAAAGCTTCGGCTTATTATAGTGTCTCTAAGTCGTTTCATAAACGACTTCGAATTGCCTTATGAGATGTAAAATGGATGAGAAATAGAACGAAAGATTTAATAATGATATTAACAAGAATTCTAAAAAGACTAGTTTATGTTATTAGGTATTGATAGGGTTCGAAATACAAATTATCTATCGATGTGAATAGGAAATAGAATATATTGACCGATCGATATTCATGCTTTGATATTTAAATTCAAGTAAGAAATACTTAGAGATATCAGTGGGATGAAAAAACACGCGACAGAAGCGCTCAGTAGCTATGGATGCTCTGGAATATATCTAATTAAAAAATATCACGCGATAACTATTAACTATATGAAGAAGATGATGGCGATGAATACACTGAAGATAAAGCAATATAATAGAAAATAAATTTCAAAGTAACCATGTTTATATCTGAAGAAAATAGAATTAGATATCATCTTTAAATGAAAATAGGCATCACAAAAAAAACTTCGAAATACAAAATTTATAACGATTCAATTTTTACTTTAGAAAATAACATTTTATTTATTCTTTTTGCAAAAGCAAAATCACCCTTTTCAGATCAGAAATTACAAACTATTTTCATTCAATTTTTTTCCTTACAATGATTTCCATTTTTTCTAACACAAAAGATAAAAAAAGAGAATATTACGAAGAGTTAGGAAGTATCTGTCTTTAGGAAGATTACTTAATCTACAACTTCTGGAACAAGATTTCTAAATAATTAATCGAACAATAGGTTTCTTTTTCCATCGTGAGTTGAAGATTCTCGTCTATATTGTCTAACTTTGCGACAAGAATACAGTCATCAATATATTTTTTCTAGAAATGAACGTAACATTTCAATAAATATAAACTATAAGCTTCAAGACATTCGAACGCTAATTCGTTAAATCAAAGACTAGTACAACAACCTATCAGCAACCCTAGAACTTGATTGCACAGGATGATTTTTCTATAGCTGTGTTCGAATTATTACCACATTATGAATTTGAACGGAAAAACTACCGTTTTAGAAACTACCGACCCCTGTATTTTCTAGGACAATTTTTACAATGGTGTTAGTTAAAAATCTGAGCAAGAAAGTTTTTCTATCCAACAAACAATAATAAATAAAAAAAAAGCTTAATTTTTGGATAGATTTTTTTTTTTAAATAGACTTTTCGATCTCTTGATATTTCTTATATACCTAAAACCTCTTTCTATTGTGGTCCCGATAATTAAAATTGTAACGGGGCAGTACCCCGATCGACATTGACGTCACTAATTCTTTAATAAAGGAGAGAGTAAGAGAGGCGCTTTCGCTGTTACAATCAGGGAAACAAAGAGGACAAGTCGAATGAATAACTAATTGCAATTTCGGACAACAAAACATATCTCTATTTACAAACTCGGTTACAGTTAACTTAAAAATATCAAACTCATAAAAACATAAATGACTAAAACTAAGACTCGGCGACAGAATCATCTTGACCATTCGCTTCCTTACAATTACGCAAGAAAAAGCCGATGCTCTATTACCGTAGTACGATAAGTGTAGCCGATAAGTGATTGCCTGGCTATTTATCGATTCGTGCGGCCGCGTATCACCACGAGAGAGGGACACAACGGGAGAGAGAGGAATTTTGTCCTTTTCTTAGGTGCCCAAGATGGCTGCAGGGAGTTGGTCTAGCTGCTGGCTTCTGGCTTCTTCGTGATTGCTGGCAGCTTCCTCGGAAGTTGTGCCGTGTACGGTGTTGAAGACGGCCACGAGATTCGCTGACAATCGGTAAAGGAGATGGAAAGCCATACAATCGAAGACGAGCGTAAGAACAACGGCAGGTCAGCTTATTTAGGCTGGCCGTAAAAAGGGAAAAGTAAAAAGTGTCTAGCCGCACAATAATTGTCGCGCGGCTATCGTTTGCGCTCTCGTCGGGTTCTCCCCCACCAAGCCCACTGATTAGGTGACAAAAAACACTAATTAGTTGTACGTTGCACGTTTGCCTAAACCCGTATAGTGCGTGCATACACGAGCAGTCTACCTCTCTCGCTAACTTACTCTCCATCTCTCTCCTACACCTAGTCGCTGCGCTCTCACTCCCTCGGATCCTGTTGGCCTCGTTCGGCAGTCTCTCTTCGGCGGCTGAAAAATATAAAGGTCAGTGGTTAGGCGCAATAAAAAAAAATATGCACCAAACGCTGACCACGTCACCTTGCTAAGCGATAAGAGACAGAGAGAGAGAGAGAGAGAGAGAGAGAGAGAGAGAGCAGACAAAGAGCATACTGCTTGTCCTTGTCACAAAATAAATATTAATTTGCCCGAACAAGAAAATTTATTATTTATACAAAATGGCGACCAATATGAAAATTTTTTTTGGTAATTTTACGAACTTTTTTCCTCGAAAATTATAGATCTTTGTAGTAATTTTCTAGGGATAGAATTATCTTAAAATTGATCAAAAAATACCCTTCAATTTTTTTAGAATGGTATGTACGAGAAAGTTTAAGAATATTTTGAATTTTAAACATTACTTATAGAATTCTGAAATCCAAACTCATAGAGATCAAATTAATACGTGCGTTTACAAGAATCTAGAACATGCATTGACTCATGTCACAAAAGAAACACAATGTAGCAAGTTCATATTACTTCTAAATTGGTAATATTACCGCAAATGATTTGCTGTAATACAGATACCATATATGAGGTGTGTTCAAAAACTAACGTGAATTTTTAAATTGGCGAGCTACGTAGATTCGATCATCGATATTTTTTTCATTATGTTGGTATACATGTCCCTCACATATGCTCACAGTTTCAGCCAGTTTGTTTGTTTCCTTTTTTTTGCGAGACAGAAATGTTAGACGTTTTTTTTGTGCTCGGCGATTTTCTGCTGTCGAAAACAATGAATCAAAGAGTTTGAATAACATTTTGTGTGAAAAATGGAACTAAGTGCTCCAAAACACTTGAAATGTTGACAGTGGCATACGATGAGTCCATTTTAAGTCAAAAAAATGTTTATAAGTGATATAAGCTCTTCCAAGATGGCCGAGAAGACATCGACGATGAACCTCGCTCTGGACGCCCCACCACTTCAATAACGGATGAAAGTGTTGAAGAAGTGAAACAAATGATGTTAAAAAATCGTCGAATCACTATTAGAGAAATGGCTGAAGATGTCAGTATCTCTGTTGGCTCGTGCCATGCAATTTTTTCCTAAGTTTTGGGCATGAAACGTGTAGTAGCAAAATTTGTTTCGAAACTGCTTTTTTTCGAACAAAAGGACCGTCGAAGAAGCATCGTTTGAGAGCTGTTAAACGACGTCAATGATGATCCTGATATGCTCAAAAGAGTCATAACTGGTGATGAATCATAGATTTATGGTTATGACGTCGAAACTAAAGCCCAATCATCCCAGAAGAGCCAAGACCGAAAAAAGCACGTCAAGTTTGTTTAAATGTCAAGGTTTTGCTCACTGTTTTCTTTGATTATCGTGGCGCAGTACATTAAAAGTTCTTATCACCAGGTCATACGGTCGATAAAGAGTATTATCTTGAAGTTATGCTCCGTTTACGAGAAGCAATACGAAAAAAACGTCCGGAATTGTACGAAAACATATAATGGATTTTACATCACGATAATGCACCTGCTCACTCATAGTTGGTTGTGTCGAAATTTTTGACCAAAAACAAAACCACAATCATGCCTCAGGCACCATATTCACCCCCTGCCACTTTTTCCTGTTCCCGAAACTTAAGAAACCCATGAAACGATAGAGGTTTGGAACGATTGAGGAGATAAAGAAAAAATCGCTGGAAGAAATTAAGGCTATACCAGAAAGTGGTTACCAGAAGTGCTTCGAGGATTGGAAAAAAACGTTGGCACAAGTGTATTGTAATGGTTCTATCTGTGAGCTCTTCTCTTATTTTCAATAGACTACTGCAACCCGCTACATTTGTCAATCTACTTACATCAATTAGTATATTAAACGGCGCTACCTCACATATTATATGATTATATTAGTGCTAGAGTCAAATTTCATGACCATATAAGGAGCGTGACGTCACTCTACGTATAGATAAGATATAATAGTTTTTATTTTTCACTTAAAATGCGTTAAGAGTAATTTTAATGTAACAAAGCATTTTTTATACAGATTTTAGGACATAGATTAAAATTATAATAATTTCAATTACTTTCAACTATTAAATCATATTGAATTTTAATGTGCAAATTTAATTTGTTTATTACATTGTAAATGTTAATTATTATAATAAAGCGGATACTGTGAACTCCAGATGACTATCTGAGAAACATGAGTAAGAATGCTTTTCATTGACAACAGCTTAGTTATTACTGTTATCAATAAATAAATAATTAATAATTTATTTAAACAAATAAATGAATCGAATAACACTATAAATAACAATATATGAATCGAAAGCGTTAATTTTGTAAATAACAACGACATCTTAATAATTTATTAATTTTAATTAATTGATTTATTATTTGCATTATAAGATTTTGCAAAAATAAGAAAATTAATTATAATTCAAATGTTATTAACTAATTTAAATAGTTCTTTTTTGGAATTACTTCTACTAGCCATAAACTATTGATATATGTAAAATTGTATAATTATTTTATTGTAAATATTGCGCTACTGTATTAACTAACTTTATTAGTTAATAACTTTTGACTATACTTTTTGCGATAAGTGTAAATTATACTTAA